AGCACACAGAAAATCACAAGGACTAAATATGCAGAGAAAAGAGCATGTGGGTCCACAGCATAAAGATGGCAATAGGCCTGAAGAAAAAACAAACCTGCCGGACCCTGTTCTTAGACTTGTAAGTTCAAGACAGGAAAGAAGAACTAAAGTTCTGTTGTTTATCCCTCTGGCCTGTGGTGATTTAAGTAGCCCTAAGAAGAAAAGTGACATAAAAATATGTTCTTCGCCAGCTGTGTTAACACATATCTATAATCCTAGCACCCAGGAGGCTGAAGCAGAAGAATTCGGAGTTCCAGACTTATGGAGGACATCACCATTCTTTATATTCTAAACTCCTAAGTTTCATGAGGGTTTAGCATTATATCCTTAATCTGGCACATAATACATGTTCAATAATATTTTTGAAAGTAGGTATGGATGAATAAATAAATAACCTATTCATACGTAAGGCCTCCGGTTATTCTATATGTGATACTGAATACAAGAAGTTTCCATTTCTGTGGATTATTCCTGGCACAGCTTCCTAATGCTTTACTAAGCTGACATGATTCATTCTTACTTATAACTTCCTGGTGTAAGCCTATCATTTTTGTCACACACAGTCAGAAAGCAGCTATATTAGAGCTTAGTTCAATCTTCCATATCCTCCTGGAAAATGCAAGCAAAACACAATTCTACTTAGTTGCTATGATTTCAATCCCTTAATGTAAAAAACAGGGATGTAGCTCATTGGTAGAAGACTTGGTAACTTGCACAAGGCCCTGGCTTGATCCATTAAACCACACCAAAAAAAATTTGTTAACACAAAACTTGGTACTACAATAGGGCACACTGTCTAACTTATGCATGTCATTTATTCTCACGATACATAAAATCTAAGTCCACTACATCTTCAAACAAATCCCAGATTTGTAAGTTCTATGGAAGAAGTTACAGCAAAAAACAGTACTACTTGCAAAGAGAAGATCAATAAAGGCTATGCCTTATAATTTTTTTGTATAAGTTCCTATACAGAAGACATGTTTAATTACACTGAACATATTTTTCAAATCTTGGGTATTGAGGTTTAGTCTGTTGCTATGTATTGTAATGCTAAATTCTGTCTACTTGCCTCAAGACCAGTGAATTCTCACAGTTTCTAGCTTTTGTTGTGTAAACCTTGCTCCTTAATTTAAAACTATTGGTTAAATAAAAAAAACTACTACAGTCAATTACTGGAGGGATTAGAGGTAGGTGGATTTTTGAGTTACCTGGTTGGGGGATGCAGGTGGAGGAGAAGAAAGGACACTGGGGGAGAGGAGGAAGTTGCCATGAGAGGAGATGGACCATGAGCACATGGCCAGGAGAAATAGCAAGTATTTGGGGTACATCACTGTGAGGTAGCCAGGCCAGCAATTAGAAGAGTGGATTAAGGATAAACCCCAGTAATTGTCAAAGCCAAATAAAATAAGCATAGTCTGACCCTCATTGATTCACAAGCTAGGTGGGCATAAGTTTAAATTGGTTCAACTACACTTGGGATTGGAAATTTTTCTGGACTCTATACTCCCTATCAGCCAAATCTCTGCTTCTTTTTTCACTCTGTAACCAAACTCATAAGAACTATATACACCCCGTCTTGAATCCTCCTCTTGAACCACTTGAGCAAGGTTCCTACCACTACACCTAAACTGTTTGCATTACGATCATCAACTACCTGGTCCTGAAATACAAAGGCCCACACTGGACACAGCTGGGAAGTGTGTCTTCTCATGTTTTGGCTCCCAGAACACAGCTATCCTACTTCCTCTGACCTCCATTTCAGCCCCGTTTACCAGTTTCTCCTCCCTTCTCAGACTGCTGGTGCAAGCAAATCTACTCTACTGGCAGTCATATAAAAGAACACCACATACAATGCCGTATATAGTACATAATACTTGATGATGATAATCTATGACTGCTAACTGCCTTGTGTATTTCTTATTATTATACTTCTCATTATTTCATAGTATATTACATAGAAATAATGCTCATTGTAAAGCATAACAATCAATGACCCTGGCAGCAGCCTCATATATCCAGTGTTTACAGCATCTCATGATTGTATCATTTTCCCTTGTTCTTGATTATTCTTGTGTTCTTTTGTTTGCTCTGCATCTACAGACACCAGGCTGAACTCATATCATGGAGCTTAAGTGTTAAGTAGGCCATACCACACAAGTTTGTACAAGCACACTCTATGACATTCACATAACAATGAAATCACCTAAGGCTGTAAGTCTCACAAAATAATTCTGTTGACTTGGTCACATTAAGTCTCTGAACGACAGTCAGTGGTGGTGCATGCCTTTAATCCCAGCACTTGGGAGGCAGAGGAAGGCGGATTTCTGAGTTCAAGGCCAGCCTGGTCTACAGAGTGAGTTCCAGGACAGCCAGGGCTACACAGAGAAACCCTGTCTCAAAAAGCCCCCCTCCTAAATAAATAAATAAATAAATAAATAAATAATAAAAGTCTCTGAACAATAAATGCCAAGGACAGTGGCACAAACCTTTAATCTCAGTACTTGGGAAGCAAAAACAGGCAAATCTCTTGAGTTCAATCAAGGCCAGATCTACAAAGAGAGTTCCAGGACAGGTGGGACTACACAGAGAAACCCTGTCTTAAACAAAAACAAAAATGGATTTCTGAACAAGAAATGGAACAGTCACTGAGTGAAAAGAGAGCAAGAGAACATGAGGAACTCTTTGCTGGCTGTGCATCTGACAGGAGACTAATACCCAGACTATATAAGGAACTCAAATATTAAAGACTCAAAGAACAAATAACCACACAATGAATGGTCAAATTTACTGGACTGTTCTCAAAAGTATAAATGACTCAAAAGTATTTTTAAAAAGTATAAATAAAAAGCAAATACGGGGCCCAAGCCCATATTCATAACATTCACTATCCTTAGTACCACAGAAATGCAAATTAAAAGTATAGTGAGACCCTACCTCACCCCATCAGTATGGTTATCAGCAAGAAAGCAAGCAGCAAATGCTGTCAGGGATGGGAGCACTTACACACAATGGTGCGTGTGTAAATTAGTGTTGCCACTATGAATTTCAGTCTGGTTCCTCAAAAAACTAAAAATAAAACTACCATTGACTCAGCTATTATACCACTGCACAAGGTATATATGCCCATGGGAACTCAAATCAGCATAACAGAGAGATGACTGCTCATCTATGCTTAATGCTGCACTGTTCAAAACAGCTAAAATGTGGAACCAGCCTAGATGTCCATCAGCAGAGGGACAGACCACCCCCCCCACACACAAAAGATGGTACATAATACAAACTGGAGCTTTATTAAGCTGTAAAGAAGAATGAAATAATATCAATTTCAGGAAAATGGATAGAATGGGAGGTTATATTAAGCAAAAGATGTCAGACTCAGAAAGGCAAATATTATGTTTTCTCTCTATATAATATCTAGATATTTTAAAATGCATGAAAGTAGAAGGGAGACTATTTCAAGGGACAGGGGAACCAGAGAGAGAAGATGCACACAAGCTGAGTGATCCTGTGAAAAATCAGTCAGATGATGAAATCCCCGTCAGGTGGCACTTGCAGCTTCTCTGAAGCAGAGGAGAGAGAGACAGAGGGAGAGACAGAGGGAGAGACAGAGGGAGAGGGA